GAATTTGATGAAAGTATTGATCGTTAATCAAAATCAGGTCGCAACTTCATCTATTTTCTATATTCGATAATATACTATCAAAGTGATATCAATATTGTAACTTATTGAAACGAAGAGAAACAGAAATGTCGATGAAGTCTTTCTTTCGAACGAAACGACTTTAAATATGTTGGCAAAAATATATCTGGTAGTAACATCAGATGACAGAAATGAACATTTACATATATCTTCTTTACATATCACTCTATTGCTGATGACTTCGATCATACTCAATGACATGCAAACAAAACTCTTTTGTTTCATTTATCATTTGATAAAGAAGAAAGATTTGTTTTCAAAATCGATCGACTCTGATCAACTATGAAGTGCATCTTGGATTGAGATCGAATATTTGCATTAGGCTGTTCCAATGAACGAATGTGAAAAGACTGCCATGCTGATCAAATGAGCAATACTCAGGTTCATTCCAGGTCATAAACCAATATGTAGTTTTGAAACGTAGTGTCTGCTTCCAATCAGAAAAAACCTGTTTCCATCTAAGGTTATTCATTGACTGCTTACACGCTAAATATTTCCTGGCAGTATCAAGACTCTGTGCAATGCAAAAATGCAAGTCCTTGACATAATTTCACTAATAAATTCTCTCTCTCTTATGAGAAAGTAATATTTCTTAGCACTGATCCATATTTACAGTCCTTAAAAATTCATTTGATAATTTTCCAATGACCTTTCCCTTACAACGCCTATGTTTACAGAGAGAGATATGATCTGTATAGAATTTGATACATCATTCTTTGAGAAGATTGATCAAAGTTTTAACTCTTTTATTGATGAAACTATGTACGCAAAAACTTTGAGAATAATTACATGCTGTCAGCATCAATGATGTTTGTTTTCGAAATTTGTTTTGAAAAATAACACAAATTATCATGGGCTCTCTCTCTATGTGACTATTGAGATGAATAATAAGATAGGTGATAATACGAATGACTAATTTCCTTCGTACACTTGTATGAGAAAAAAATCACGTCTTCAAGGTTTAATAATGATATCACACCGATGACGATGAGATTTTTTTCCCTGCAATATTATATGTATGTTATTAAAGTTCCCTCAAAAAAAGTCACTTTTCATCAGAATTATTGAAATTAAGATAAATGTAGGGAAAGATAGTCCATCATATGGTATCTCATAAACCACAAAAACTTTTACTTAGCACCTCGTTTTTTCCATAAATTTTTGAAGATTTCCGCCATCCTCTGTTCGAAAAATAAGCCATTTTTGAAGAAAAACCGAAAAGCTTTTTTGTTTTGTCTTAGTTTATGATATGTCGAACACGTAATCCAAATTTCTCAGGCCAGATCCATGTGATGTATTCAAATTTGTTTTTGTCGGAAAGAGCATGTTAAGACGCAGGGCATCACAGAGTCCTTTTTCTAAAATAAGCTGTTTTATAATAATAAAAGAAAACCCCTCTATAGAAATAGTGCTATTTTTTTAGAGGTTTTTTGAGCCATTGAACTTGTGATTTCTTCTTTCCGCTTAAAAAGTAAGAATTTAAAAAAAGGATTTTGTGGTGCTTTACATCCTGACATGCTTTTTCAAGCAAAAAATTTAAAAACATGACATGGATCCAGACTGAGAAATTTGAGTTGCCGAATGAGTTGTTTTTGACCCTTATTTGGCCAATATCTATCTGAAACGTCATGATATCGGGCTAAAAATTTCATCATAAGTTTTCCGCAACAGCTCCAACATATCCTGAAAATTTCATGTCATATGAACGTTCCTAGGCTGAGAACGATTTTTGAGGGAGAGGCCTTAACTATGAATGGTGAGTTCCCTGATTTATACACGGATTGAACAATCTGTCAGTAAACAGACTTTCAGGATATTCTTTTCACTTGTACACCGCACTTCCGTTTACATTCTGAAATTACTAACAGTGTTCGCCCTTGAAATACATTATTAGTTGTATAGAAGTATTATTTTTCTTGGAAAAAGTTGTTAAAACAATTGCTCAAGTAATATTTTTATCCGAATACCATTAAGAACTTAACATTTTTGGCAAATACCTACGACTATGTTAATCTATTTCACGTATTAGTATTTTTGCTTTATCTCTATTTTCATTATTAAAGCCTAAAATTTTTTTGGAAATCCTTCATAAGAACAAATGAGAAACTCTATTGTAAAACTACAGAGCAGAAAAGTTAGAAAAACAATACTATGAAGTTCGAACATGCTCAACTTCGATAAATTGTTTTCATGAAAAACTCAGTTACTTTTACAAGCTTTTTACTTTTACAGCAACACGGTGGAATAACGAACAGAACTAAATAGATGAATATATTTTTTTATTTTAATCGAACAAATGAAAGTTTACCTTTAACAATGCAACTCGATCGCACATAAATCTAATTTTTTTAAGGATGTGGGTGTAGGTGTGTATTAGGACTCCGTGTGGGATGGAATAAGATGAAAAAAATTGACCCATGAGATGAACTATCGCGAACTGTCTCATGTGGGATGATACTATACTCAAATATTTCGTCCCACATGGGGTGGGATGAGACAGAATTTTCCGTCCCATCCCATGGGACTTCACACTAGTCAAATATCTTATAAAAAAAACTTGTCGGTGCGGCCCCAAAAGGGACCGAAATGTGGAACTCATAAACTCTGAGCCTTATAAATTTAATACATATGTTCAGAGGTTTTAAAATAAGTTATTTAAAAAAAATATAAAATATCAAAAAAATAAACTAATACATAGTAAATATTGAATATTATATTTTGTATTTAAAATATTAAAAAATAATTTTTTTCAATATTAAATATTGAATATATTAATTATTATTCTATTCACTATTTTGTCAATTAGCTAATTAATTAATGTGTTTGTAACAGTCTGTAATGGGGAAGCCTGGTGCCATGGGAACATATCCAATAATGTATAGTTTTCCGCTATATGGTTGCTAAGGAACCATAGGAAAGAAGCCAGTTCTTATTATCCTCCATTGCTAGGGGAATGTACCCAATGACCTTTAACTTTCAAGTTCGGTTGCTTAGGTCTGTAATGATGGGGGCCTAGGGGGGTCAGGGGAGCCGCAAAACCTCGATTTGAAACTTACACTCACTATTTTCTTTGAAAATATATGTGAGTTTCACAAAAGCTTGTTAGCACAGACTCTTTGGAGCTGAAATGTGGAATTCACATATATTCTCTAGCCTCATTAAACTTATACAAAATAAGTTAAGTGAAAAACCTCTCGTAGATTACAGTTGTTTTGCAGAATAATCGAATGTTAGAGTAAAAATCTCTCTACACAGATAATCCATGAATGGCTACGTGCTGTGCTGTACGATAAACCCAAAAATGAATATTGTGAACTTTAATTATGCGATCGCGGGATGTGAGGAAAGGACATGATAAGTAAATGGAAGTTCTAGCTATCAAACTGTTCGACACTTATGGAAGAAAGATATGAACGCGAAATAATTTTCCCCGCGCAACACACCTTTTATTTCAGTGTCGCGGCATGGAAGGGCGAAGTGCCTCTCTCTCCCTCCCCTTCGAAGAGCCGCAACCCACGTTCGTCTCTGTGTACACAGCCAAGTTCATGAATAGCTACGTGTAGTGCTATAAAATAAACATAGAAACAAACACTAAGAACTTGAATTATGTGAAGAGATACGGCGGAAGCATATAACTAAGTAAATGGAAGTTCTAGCTATTAGATAATTGCACACTTATGAAAGAAAGACGTGAAGACAAAACGACTTTGTCTGCGTAACACACCTTTTATTTCAGTGTCGCGACGTGGAGGCGCGAAGCGGTCCCCGAAGAGTGGCGACCCATGCCAGTCTTTGTGTACACAACAGTGCTCAATAACTCAACAGTTCAAAGTGAGTTCAGAAACTGAAATGAAGTTCGCAATATTATAGAATGGTGGAAAGCTTGAATAGTTGAACTGAATACTTGAATAGATGAACTAATAGTTGAATGGTTGAATTGAACTTTCAAGTTTGACACTACTGGAATTTTCTGCAATTCCGGGTCACAGTGCGATAGCAGTTCGATCGCAGTCGACCGCATGGCCGAATCGGTCTGACAAGGTATCATCAAGAGGAACAAATATTCCAATAAATATACAAAGACAGCGATTCAATATCAATCATTTTATTCACAAAGATAAAAATTTTCGACGAAGCTTCGGCAAGCTCTATCTCAATTATAATTATAGTTTATAAATTCTTTTTCTGCTTTTCTACCGTAGTTATAGGAAAGTCCTATCTCACTTATAATTTATAGCTATTTTTTCTGCTTTCACGCCGTAGTTATAGAAAAGTTCCATCTCATTTATAATTTATAATTTTTTTCTGCTTTTCTGGCGTAGTTATAGAAAAGTCCTATCTCATTTATAATTTATAATTTTTTTCCTGCTTTTCTGTCGTAGTTATAGAAAACCCCTATCTCATTTATAATTTATAAATTTGTTTTCTGCTTTTCAACTGATAGCGAAGTTTTTTTTAATTTTTATGCCTTGATGGAGCCTAGCATGTTTTTGAAATTTTTATTTATATTATAACTCGAATTAGGCAGCTACTCGCTTTTTCACAAGCAACAGAATTTAAATGTTGAGGCCATTTTTTGTCATCATAGAGTAGAATAAATGAGTTTCTATTACCTGCAAACAAGATGAGATTACGTTTACCTTTTAGTTTGGACATCTTGTGCAAATTTGATTATGATGGGTGGAAAGGAAAAACATGTTTGTGCAAATCGAGTAGCTTATTCCGAAATAACATTTTTCATATTCTTTTCACGATTATGTGAATTTGTTTGACTTGTATTTGGTATAAGAGGATTACCTTGAGATGATGTCTTAGTTACAATACTATTTTTGTTCGCAGGCGCAGCAATTTGATAATATTGATGATTTGTTTTAATTTTCTTTTTGTTACTTTTAACTAATGTAAATTCATCATTATTATTAATATTCATTGATCCGATCTCTTGACCTTGTTCATTATAAATTTGATGTTGAGGATCGTGATGTTGTTGATTAAGTGGAGGTAAGATCGAAATTGGTGTATCTTGATCATCAGTTGAACTATAATTTCGGACGTTTGTGTTTGGGATTATAGGATAGGGCTGTGAGACCAAGGGGTGGGGGCATATCATGTTATATCTATTGTCTAACATGACTAAATACCAGAATCAACAGTCTAACGATCTTGTTTAGTTAGGGTATGTTCTTCCGCTCACGTTTTAAGAACAAAATGAACACGTGACCAGAAGATAAAGAAATAATACGTATATAACGTTTGAATATATGTGTGATAAGAGAAAGAAAATGTGAACGATGACATTTAATTTTACATCGTTTCATTCACTTTTTCAGTGTTTTTAACTTATGAAATATATTTTGATTTTATGCTGCGATTATATAAAATGACCTGATATTATTAAAATATGTTCTCATTTGATTTCAATGCAGACCTTGTTTTATAATTCAATCCAGCTATAATAAACTCATTACCCTTTGCAGACTAATCATTTTTTTCTGTTTTTCTCTTTTGTTCCGCTTTTGGTCCCATTTTGAATTCTAATTATTGGTTTTGCTTTCATTGGTGCTTATAAAAGCTAATGCAGAGCCCTGATGAGCGATTATATCTAAAAAAAAACACGAAACACTTCGACGAAAATAACGCTGCATTTTTTCTTTATTCATCAATTTATTAAGCACATCATTAATACTTTAAAATTAGGTCGGCTTAATCGATTGGTAAAAAGCAAGAGTTGATACTAACAGATTGATCTATATTTACATTAAGATATAGATCCATCTGTTTTACAATTGATTTATGTACATTCACACTTTCAATACCAGAATCCGAATACGACAGTAATCACATTTTCTCTATCGATATGGACAGGTTATACCTATTTCATAATAAGCTAAGCAGTCACTACAAAAAGGTTTTTTTTTATTCTTCTTCATATTAACTACGATTCTTTCTCGCATATATCAATAACGGATTTTGAACACGAAGGTAAGCACATTTTTCTTTTTTTATATATACATAGTTACACCTATTTCATAATAAGCTAAGCAGTCACTACAAAAAGTTTTTTTTCATTCTTCTTCATATTTGGTACGATTCTTTCTCGCATATATCGATAACGGATTTTGAATACGAAGGTGAGCACATTTTTCTTTGTTTATATATGCATATTTATACCTATTTCATAATAAGCTAAGCAGTCACTATAAAAAGCTTTTTTTTTCGTTCGTTGTCATATTTGCTACGATTCTTTTACGCATATATCAATACCGGGTTGTGAATACGAAGGTAAGCACATTTTTCTTTGTTTATATATACAAAGTTATATCTCTTTCATGATAAACTAAGCGGTCACCACAAAAGGGTTTTCTTTTTTCGTCTTAATAATGGCGGAAGAGGGTGGGTGTGGGTGTCAGGTGTGGGTGTGGGTGTGGGTGTGGATAAGGAGAAGATCTGAATCCATACCCATACACCACATCCACACTCACAGCCACACCAACACCGACACCCATACCCACACTCGCACCCCACACTCACACCTACACCCACGCTAAGAACTACTCTTTCGTGATCATCGATCCACGCTTTATGGAGCCATGTGTAAATGAGAACACGAACCATTTTACTTTAAGTTCGAGTGGTAGACACCCTGAAGCTACTATTTTCAGGAGACATGACTCTAGACTACCACGACAAAATCTATTTATCTTTGTCTTTTAGAATAAACATGTGCAAACACAAAATAATAGTTCTACTTTTTCTTCTTATGCTGAGTTTCTTCTTATACATTATGTATCACATTCGTGCGTATACTTTCGCATACTTCTATTTAAATATTCCAAAACCGCTGCAATTAATTCGTTCTCGAAAAGATTTTATAATGATCCTGCGTGATGAACAGTTTCGAACAGGAGCTGAGGTTGGTGTGCAATATGGTGATTTCTCACTTTATTTACTTAAGAATTGGCCAAATTGTATCGAATTTCATGCAATTGATCTGTGGGCCCATCAAAAAGACTATAAAGATACAGCAAACAAAGTGGACTCAGAACAAGAGAAGGTGTACCAAGCTGCTACGAAAAAATTGAAAAGCTTCAAGCATATCATTCGTTATCATCGTAATTTTAGTTATGTAGCAGCCCAGGAAATAGAAAATAATAGTCTAGACTTTATTTATCTGGATGCGAGACATGATTATGCTGGTGTTATGGAGGACTTGCAAAGCTATTGGCCAAAACTAAAACCAGGTGGTATTATGGCTGGTCACGACTATTTAGATTTAGACGAGCAACGCGCTCTTGATCCAGGACAGGACTGGAGTGTTGATGCTCGTGGATCCAAACGAACGGATAACAAAGCTGTTAAAAGCGCAGTCAATGAATTCGCTCGCGAAAAAAATAGACAAGTATTACAAACTATACGTGAGAGTTGGCCTAGCTGGTATATGCGAAAATGAATGTAACATGCTGCTGTTCTCTCATTGAAGGACTTTTCGAGCATTACGTGTCTGAAAAATTTACACATAGGCTCTTTCAAGCCCATTGAATAATATAGCTGTAGTTTTAGTTTATCAAAATAGATTTTGTTATCACTTACAAACTCACAATATCAAACATCAGTGAGAACATAAAACTTTGCTTCTCAAAAACGCCCTGAAATTGATTTTTCATAAGAATAACTTTCTTTGAATTCAAGCGATTTGAAGCAATCGATATATCTGAAATTCTTGTCACTACCACGATGTCAGAGGCTTATGTCACTGAAGGTGTTAATGTAAATCTGAGCCCGAAGTTTGGATATTGAATGTAACTTTTAGGAATGCGAATGTGAGTGTATGGGATTGCAGGGAGAAAAGCATAGGCATCCATACCCACACACACCCCCACATCCACACCCACATCCTATGTGTGCCAAGTTTAACAGCAGCTACTGCAACAGCAGCACACAGAGGATGAGATCTTGTTCCTTTGCCACCAAATGCTCCACCAATTCTTTTGACATGACATGTTACATGATTAACATTTCGTCCAAGAACAAACGCTATTATTTCTTGAGCAGAAGTAGGATCTTGTGTTCCTGCATATAAAGTTATTTCTTTCTCATCATTTGATGGTATAACTATACAAGAATTTGTTTCCATATAAAAATGTTCTTGACCACCAATGTATAATGTATCTTCTAAAATATGTTTAGCATTCCGAAAGACATCGTCAATATCACCTTGTCGAAGAGAAATTTCATCGCCAAAATAAGATTGATGAATAATAGCATCTTCAATAGAGAAGATGCTTGGTGATAATTGTAACGAAAAATATGTGACGATGAGGAATGGATGAATAAGAATAATAATTGAAGTTACTAAGCTCTTGACTTTGTCTTGGCTTCTGTTGATTCCTTCACCCTTTCGTTACTTATCGCTATCACTTGCTCTTTTATTTCAACAATACCACTCTTCTTTAACATGCGAAGTTATACACCACTATGTATGTCCCTCACACTTGTATATATCGTTGTTCAATCTTGCTCTCGCTGTTCACTTTCATCAACTGCTATATTCTTCACTCTTTTCTTTCCTCTTTCTCCTTCATCTTCTCGAGGATAGAGAGCAATGTGAATATATACAGGATGTAATACAACGATTGTACAAGCGTTGACAAAGGACAGTGTATAACGGAACAATTACAATAGTATTAAGAATGAACAGTGTGTAACGTAACGATTACAATAGCATTGAGAATGAACAAGTATTGAACACTATGAACAGTACTATGTAAGGATACAAGGTTGACATTATACAATGATGATATGGAGTAAGAGTAAAATAGCGTAAGAATGATGTCCCATGCTGGTGATAGCATGTTACATCGGTGTATCTCTTGGCACACTATGCGTGCCGGTGTGCATGTCTATGACTTAGCGGGTAGATGGCGTAGACGCTGGGTATATGTGTGTGAGTGTATATGTGAGTATGTCTGCGATAGTGAGTGTAAGTGCAAATATAAGGTCAGCGGATTCAATTGGCTCTACGCGGGTATGTCGTAGACAGTGTGAGTTGCTATGCAAGCATGTATGTATCTGCTTATATATGTGTGTCGGATCCTTATCACCTAAATAAACTGATATTCAAGTCCGCTTGAAATGGACTGTAGCACAATGTTATTATGTGTCGTAAATTGGATTCCTTCCTGTTTTTGTATTCATATGAAACAGTAGTGGCTAGGATGGAATTGGTACACATGTGTAATCAGAAGAGTGACCGCTTCACGAGAAATAGCATTTGTTTCTGGTTGAACTCTCGAAGTTAATTTTCAATTCTTTTAGAGTGACTGCGTTCATTTGAGAAAGGCTTCAGTTGTGTGGGACAATGTTTATTTATTGTTGAGGTGCATTTATTCGCATTAAGTCAGGCTTTGAATCTTGGACATGGTTTAAATATGTATTACTACAAGTATTGGTTGTCAGATTCGTTGTAGTGAATGGTACTTAGTCCTGCAATAGGTAGATGAATAATGCTGTTATTTCCTGAAGGTTTTTAAAAATTTTCCTACGAGTGGGTTTCGTTTATTTCATGTTATGTTGATTCGTTGACATTGTTGTCTAATGATAGGGCAGTTGGCGTAATGTTTTTGTCTGCCGTATTAGTATTGACTAAGAGTCAGACGTTTAATCCAGATGTAGTTTTTATCTGCCATTTCAATCAGTTTAGTTATGAGTTTTGCAACGGGTCGAAATAATGAGGTACACGTGAAAAGAGAAGTCAAAAAGAATGGCATCTACACGCGGTAGTAATGATTATGAAAACGGTAACTTATAGAAGCATTACAATAGATTTTTCGAGAGACAAACAAATCTATAGTTGGATGCAAACATAAGGAAGATGTTTGGATTTCTAATCATATGTTGATACTCTCACTATATATAAATTTAATTATGTTTTTAATGGTCTTTTATAGCGAGAGTGGTGTCAATTAGTTTTGAAGTAGTGAGTGGTGAAAAAATGGCAGGCCATTGATCCATCGGGTGTTGATGATCATTGCGTAAGGATTTGCATCAATATTGAGGAATTTGCCGACATCTTTCAGTTTTTGTTCTTTTTTGACGTCGATGATAATTAGAAATATTTCGTCGAAATTGATTATAAAAATACTGGCCATAGTATTGCTTATTATAGTGAAGCTTTAGTTTAGGTACATTGAAACCTTCGAAGCACAACATTATTTTGTCCATGATAGTATCATGGAAAAATCGGTTGTATTGAAACGAGCATTGAATATCTTGCAATTCATTTACGCAGTCAGGCACACTAGCATCACAGCATGTAGCACGTAGAAGAACTGCTCGAAGTAGGATATGATACTTGTTTTGTGAATTACCAACTATATAAGGTAATGAATAAGGTTTAGTATTTGAAGGATGGATAACTTGTAGATGGAGATCATCATCATGATATTAACGATTATTAACATCGAGATAATTGATATGATCATTGATGAACAGAATAGTTCGAATATTAGGTTGTTGTCGATTGATCATACAAAGCATATCATAAAGTTGTTCTCCGAATTCGTTCCATGTGAAGAATATTTCATCAAAACATCTATATAATCGTATCTATAGAACTAGAAAATGTAACACATGAAGAAATGATATACTTATCTGTTAAAGATTTCCTTTTTTTCATTTGGATAAAATGGTCATTAACTCTTATTGCTAATAATATATGTAGATGTTGTCTAATAGTATCTTCAGTAGTGACTCAGAAATACCTTCTTTAATTTGTTGATAGAGATTGTTTTCATAGAGAACGTATTGAAATTCAAGAACGAGTCGAATAAGATCAATGATTGTTGGTATCGTGATACCTTCCATTTTTTTATCGAACGTATATTCATGGTGAAAACGTTGCAATGTTTCAATGGTTTGTTCATGTAGTACGACAGTTAATAGATCATCGATGTGTCAAGTAGAAAATTGTGTTTGTTCGAAGACAATCGTTCCTGGTATACTCTTCTATAACATCAACTACATCAGCACTTGTATGAAATGTGTTCGAATAAGTAACTAGATTGTAAAACAGTTGAAGTAGACGAGTGATAAAATGATATATGTTCATTGTTAAGCGATGATGACATACCATCGTTGGATGAAATGTAACATTTTCCTAGAGATTGCAATGCAAGACATTAATCATAAAAGATCAATAATAAGATCATACTCGCAATGTATCAGATAAAACTGCTTGTTAGCACAGCCCCTTTGGAGCTGAAATGTGCAATTCACATATGTTATCTAGCCTCGTTAAACTAATTATAACAAATACGTAAGGTGAAAAACCTCTCGTAGACTACAGTTGTTTTGCAGGGCAATCGAACGCCAGAGTAAAAACCTATCTAATTTCTTCATTTCGAATAGAAATTTTAATTTTTTCTATGAGTGCTCTATTTTTATTTGCATTGTTGCTATTCGCTGATCATTATTTTTTAACTTGTTTTTCTTAACTTAATATTCTCATTAATAGAAGTATTGAATTTATTGTGGGTGTAGGTATGAGGGTGTGGGTGGGTGTGGGTGTGTTTGGGTATGGGTGGGTGTGGGTGGGTGTGGGTGGGTGTGGGTGTGTTTGGGTGTGGGTGGGTGTGGGTGTGTTTGGGTGTGGGTGGGTGTGGGTGGGTGTGGGTGTGTTTGGGTGTGGGTGGGTGTGGGTGTGTTTGGGTGTGGGTGCCATTGAGGTCTACACCCACACCCAACCATTATTCCGCACCTTCGACGAACATCAACTCATAAATCTATATTGAATAAATATCGTCTTATTAGACGCAAATGTAAGTTCCTTGTAACTAAAAAAATAAAAAATCGAAATTTCATTTGTTTCACAAATCAGACTATTCAATTTGGAAACAAAATCTAATTCGTCATTCAACAACATTAAATAACGTTGTTTATAATGAACACATAAAGAAAAATTAACATATAATGAAAAATGAAAATATAAATTTAGATAAATGTATGAATCAAAAGAAGCATGTTATTACAACAAATCAAAATATACTTATGAATACAGATCAACATTTACATCCAAAAGAACGCTTCAATAAAATTAAATATATTATGGAAACAGATCATATAAGGCAGGTAAATAGAAATGAAAACGTAAATTCAGATAAATATGTAAATCAAAAATATGTTATTAATACAAATCGAAAAATACACATGGATGCAAATCAACATTTACATTCAAATGAACTTTTAAATGATATTGAAAATATTGTTGAATTAAATGTAAAGAAGTATGCCAATCCACATGAACATTTAATTATGGTAAGATTTTCTCTACAATCAGTAATAATAGAAAGTATACTAAATAGGCGATTACCTTATCAATAAATGGATTTTCTATTTTTAAAAAATAAAAAAGTATAAAGCTTTTGTTATTTAAACAATGAAGATAGATAAAATCTTTATTTTCATAAGAAAAGTAGAGAAGAAATTTTGATCATTTATATGTTTTATTTCGCCCTTTGATCTTGATGTTTCTAAAGAGAAAATAGAGAAGAAATTCTTATATGAAAACGATAAATATTTTTTATTCAATATTCGACGGTCACTATAAAAAAAAATTTCGCGGCAAGTACACTGTCGACGGTGTTTCTCCATAGGGTATGTATAAATGACCATGTATAGGGTTAGGGTTAAAAAGATTTTTTATTCAATGGATTATGTAAGTGATAATGATGACTTGTGGATGACAATAGAAGAGGACGAGGTAATCACTCGCTACTGTTCCATAAGATATACAGAAAAAATTATTTCTGTTTTAACCTTAGTACGCCCGTGCTTTTTTACGCACTACAGTAGCAATATATGCTTCTATAAAATTATTTTCTCTATTCTAAGGCCACTATCCTGACAAAAGGATACTAGTGTTATATCCAATCTGATAGAAAACAATCTTGAGAGTATATTAGTCCTTTATTTCGAACAATTAATACAAGAAATCTGCTTTATACTATGTTCGTTACAAACAAATGCAGAACATTTATAACATTTAGTTGAAGTTTTTCTGTCTTTAGATGTTTCACACATTGAACACCGTTTTCGTTTTCCTTGTGCAGAATCTTCATTTGATTCTTCTGAATTTCTTCTCGTTATAGGATGACCAACAATAGCTAAAGCATTTTGAATATCTTTATGTGGAAATTTTGAGTTTTTTGAACGAAAATCCAACAGAGGTGTTATTAGACTAAGTCCAAGTTCTTCTAAAAATAATCGCCGTTGATATCTCTTATTTCGATTCCATTCTGGATTTTTCGCTTTCCATAAAATAAAAGCATTTAGAGCCGCGATATCTATCATACCGTAGAAAATACAAAGCGGCCACCGTTTTGTACCTCTTTTTACCTATAAATGACAAAATGAAAAGATAAAAAATAAAAATATTTTTTACTGTATATTTGTGGCACATTTGATCAACAGTATCAACAGCTCCCTTGGTTTTATTATAATCCAAAACAATAATTGGTTTTCCAGTCTTATTGTCCACCTGATTATCATGATGTTTCGAAGAAAGTTATAAGACAGCTTTATTATTTTTTGGTACAAAGGAAACTAAAGTTAAATTATCTTCAAAACCAAAAAGCGAAGAACCAACTTCACGAGTTTTATTTGATAGAAATTCTATAGGTATTTCTGGTTTATTTTTTCGTAATGTTCCTATAAGAGTAAGATTCTTCGTTTGAAGATTTTTCGCCAATGGAACACTTGTAAAGAAATTATCCATTGTAACGTTTCTGTTTGAACCATAGAATGGCTTGAGCAATTCTAAAACTACACTTTCACCTATGTGTTTTTGTTTTTCTTGACCTGGTTGTCGTCCAATGTAAGGAAAAGCATTCAATACACAATACGACTCTGCATCAACACATAGCCAGAACTTTAATCCGTATTTGTCAGGCTTCTTAGGAATAAATTGACGAAATGGACATTTTCCCCGAAAACCTAATAATTGTTCGTCGATGGTAAGATCAAGTCCTGGTGTATAACATGTTTTTAATTTATCTTGAAAATCTAACCAAATTTCACGAATTGCCACAAATTTATCTGCTTGTTTTCTCTCTTCTCTTGTTCTTTTATCATCAAATCTTAGACACGAAATAATTTTGTCAAAACGATTTCTTGAAATAGTAGCTTTAAATATTGGAGATTCCAAGGGACTTGTTCTCCATAAGGATCGCAAATTTCCCTTTGATCTTCCTAATAAACCAGCAAGCAATAATATTCCAATTGAAGCTTTTAATTCCATCATTGTTATTTCTTCTTTTTCATCTAATCCGACGCTTCGATCATATTCCATATTTGAATAAATTAAAATTTTCTGCATGATTTTTTCCGACATAAGACAAATGAATGCGTCTTCAATAGATGCAACATTTTCAGTAAGCTTGGTCGGTCCAGATTTCTCGATATTATCACTGAAAGAATTTATTTTTGTTGAAGTAGACGGAATTGAAGACCAGATCATCCCGGACTTGGAAGTATATGAGCTTTTTCGTGTGGAACCTTCGGTTAATTTAAGATCTTCTAAATCAATTTCATCATCAGCGTCTGATGTTTGACTTTCATCATTTTCTGTTTCTGAACCACTTTGTTCGTCGGTAAAATCGTCAACTTCGCTATCCTCTTCAATCCAATTGTTCATGATCGTTTTTTATAATATAAAAAGAAATCTTAATCTATAAAATAAAACAAAATGAAGAGGTACTAGATGATAGATGAATATCTTCGATCCAAAATTTAATCGTATGAATCATACATCATCCTAACTGGATAATCCAAAACCCAATCAATAAATACTTTTAAGTAAGATGGAGATAAATATACAGTTAAAATGGTGCATGACTCTTAAATTTTAATGGAAAATTTAACTTGTTCTCTTGTCTAGTTTTATGTTATATACTGATGAAATTGTATTTTATTGTATTGAAGGCTTGTAATGAGATGGAATAGGAAAAATTAGTTTCATTTTAGACTACGCAACAGCTATCTATTCGTAATAGATGATGAATGATTCCTTAAACCCAAAATTAGCAAAATATTATAGTGTATTTCCAAATTTTTATGTCTGGGTCAGAAATGACCCATGTTGGGCGTACTAGGGTTAAATATAATAATAAATGGGTAAGCCAATGTTTATATTATATGGTTTATTATTTGATAGTTATATTTAGCAAACACAAGCGTGCTGACACACTGTTTGTTCTGTTGGTAGGGATGATTGCTAGGGTGCGGCATCTGTCACTCTAACCATCATCGTGTTATCTACTTCTATATCTTTGTTATTATTTTTTTTCATTGGTTTACTCAATCGATGTATACAAGATCGCTTGATACACTTTAGTTGTTGGTGTTTTCTTTTTGTTATTGATTTTTTTCTTTTTTCAGGTTTTCTGTCTCCGTTTTTTTTCCAGTTTATTGTTATTATTTTGTTTGTTTTTTTGTTGTTTAAAAATAAACTGATCTATTTTTTAACAGTATTCTTTTCATTTGTCGTGTTCTCTGCTCTCATCCATCCTCGGCTTGATCATCGTCATCTGATAATAAGGCTCCTATTGGTGATTAATCAATGTAGGCTCACTTTATGTAAATGTTGATGAATAGACCTTCGTTTATCTTGCTCTTACAGGGACTCACGATTCACTGATGAAGCGAATGCTTATTGTCAACTAGCTGTTTCAATTTTACCCTCATCGGAAAGTCCCACGATCAAAGAAGTGCGTGAAGCAGATGAAAAACTGTTCACCAAAGGTAATGAAAAACTTATCGGAACATTCAAGGGTACTCTACAAGAAGAGCATGTGAAGGTCAACTGTGCAGGTGAATTTAGACTACAATAATCATCTATTGCTTCGTGATATTAATGCATTGAATGTTTAGAGATTCCTATTACAATCTATACACCAATAGATGTTAACAGGGATAAACTAGTTATATTTTTCCATGGTGGAGGTAATATTAGGATTATTTATTGATTGTGATTTATAACTTTATTTGAAATCAGGGTGGACTAGTTCCAGTCGCAAGACGCACCAAACAATGGTCAATACTCTTGCCGAGTAAGAGTTCCTCTTCCCATATTCCTCACTACTAGATTTATGAATTACCCAGAACCAACATGAATCTATGTCAGCCTGTCCAAGCTCGATATGTGTGAAGACGAGTGTAAAATGTCATAAACGTAATGAATTATCAAATTTGTTACTAGCTGAACAGGTTTTACTAGTATGATATCATATGTATAGAGCTATGATAAGTTGATCTAACCAAATTCCATAGAAATCGTGTGAATAGTTTTTTTAGGATTTCAACAGTTAATAGAAAATAGTTGAGATGGGTTTTAACAAAGAACTTGGACAAAATGAATCTATATCTCAATATTGATGAACAATCGCCTTCGTTACAACATCTTGAGATATACTTTCTATGTATCTACCTGCCTAGCGCGACAAAGACTATTTGGATCTCTGTCGAATATCGTCTTGCACCGGAACATAAATATCCAATTTGGCTCGACGATTCATGTGATGTTACTCGACACATTATAGAAAATAAAGTGTTCTACGGTCTGTTTTTCTCTTTTTAACTCTTTGATCTGTATTCAATGATTATTCAGGTGTCGATCAAACAGCGAAGATTGGTGTGGCGGGCGACAGTGCTGGTGCTCAGATTAGCGCATCAATTTGTCATACGATCAAAAATATTGATTTTCAGGTGTAGATTTCAGCGACACTCATAATCGAAACATCTCATTTTCATTTTCCAACAGATTCTCATCTATGGATTTTTCGATGCCGCATGTAGAACACCGTCTCACAAAGAATTTAGCGATCCGATGTACATTCTTACACCTGCAACGCTTGATTGGTAAATACTGAATAGAATTCTCTCCGAATCAAAGTGACTCGTTCTTTTCGCACAGGTTGAAGTTGCACGCATTTCGTGATGCAAACGATCTGAAAGATCCTCGAGTATCTGTTCTTCTCAACAAATCTTTCAACACCTTGCCACCATGTTTATTTATTGCCGCCGAACTGGATCCGCTCCGAGACGACAGTTACGGTATGAACACAGAGTTTGAGAATAGATAAGAAAAAATCAAATGTGCTAATTGCAGCATATCAGGAGTTACTTGACAAGGCGAGTGTCAAAACCAACCTTTTACTTGTCAAAGGTGTCCTGCATGATTTTCTTGCTTTTCCAGGTAAGAAAATAATCGAGAAATTTCTCAACCAATCAGTTTTTCCTGGATATAGGTACCTATCCGAAAGCGTGTACACAAGCGGTCGATGTCATTCAACAATTTGTGTCTGAACTTTAAGGTGAACATTTCAAGGTTGATTAGAAAATAATGGACAATTTTTCTTTGCTAAACAAGAATGTTTTGAAGTCGAGAGAAAAATATTTTTTCTCTAAAACATGAAAATAAACGGAAGCAATTGCCAAGTTAACAATTAAAAGTTAATCAGGCAATAGATATTTGATAAAAATCGTCTATTTATAGGTGACAGATGGAATCATATAGTCAAAATTTGTACACCTGTAAATTTTCATAGAGTACAGTCCGATGACATTGGAAAAGTTGATGAGGAAAAACTGAAGACGAAATCCATTGATTATTCTATTTAGAGAATTGGATATTGTTTTAATTAATATGAATTCTCTTTCTTCTCTACTCAAAGAATTGACATTTGACTAGAGGCTGGAGTAAAGATGAGGTGAGTAAGCGCTACCGTAAATGGGAAATACTCGTTTTTGCTGGAAAAAGTAAAACAGTTCTCCAAGAAGACAGTCGGCGAACGCTTCCTCACTCCCTAATGCATGACTGATATAACGGTGCTCACCCACTACATCAATGACATGCTTTTAAAAATTTTTTTTTTAAAGTTCTGAAACTGATATTAAAATATAAAATATGCTGGAAGCTTCTGTGAAAACAAAATTTCCTGTGGACCCGAACCAGGTGAGAACGCAAAACTTCCAGTCTGCATTGAATCGACCCGGGCCACAAAACATGGTCCATTTCGAATCCTCTTAGCACCGCTTGGTTTCAATCCTCACCTTACATGTTAAGCTTGCCACTCTTCAGAACAACGAAAACCACAACATCTAGTTCATTGGCAGGGTAACAATTGAAACTGGCTCATACTTGACAGAGGTTATTCGATCTCGTATGAATAGATCTTCAGAATGCGTTTATTGTAGATTATAATTTTTCTCCTTCGTAGTGCTGTATTTCATTAGCATTGATATTTGTTACCCTACACAGTATTATCTCCGAAATTTCTTTGGTGATAGTGTCGAAAATAACATAGTATTATTAACAATCCATATTTATTCAACGTTACTTTACCTGTATATTGACTTTGTGCTGTTGTTTTTTTAAGTTGGAAAAACCAACTGCAGAGAATCAACGAAGTGCATCATTTGGCGATCGTTTCTGGGCCTTTTTATGCGCAACCGTAAAAGCGAAAACAAAACTGAGAAGGGTGGGTGCAGGTGTGGGTATGGGTATGGTTGAACTGAAGAGTAACACTCATGTCCATATCCACACTCGCGCACATCCTCCAGGAAAAGATAGCCTGCCTGAGTCTACGGAAGCCTCAGGTAGAAATAGACTACACAATCATCATGGCATATTTCATATTACCTGACTTTGAGGAAAGTGTCAGTTTCTTATTAGCATTCTTTTCATGCAGTTTTAATGGCTTTCGTGCCATGAAAATGGTGTGGAAATCATCACTTTCATGAATAAAAATTTGGAAAATCCTCGATTACTTTGAAAAGCACGCAGTATTTTGTCTGTTCCGTCATCAGAAATACCACTTTTTTTTAATGTTGGTCATCATGTCTCGTACAGAAAAGTTTTATTAAAATAGTGTAAAATACATCATTCTTTTGCATGTTTTTACTCCATAGGAAGATATTTCTTTTTTCACTGTTCTAATTTCATGAATTCCATTAAATTTTAGTTTTTTTCAGGAGAAGATTTTCATGTATTTTTAACGGTTTTCATGGTATGATATTGATGGAAATTTAATGTTTTGCATGAAACGAAAGCTTCGAAAATCATGCATGAATTTGAAATACATCAAAGAAAATGTCCGTTTCACGATCAAAAATGTCACTTTTTTTGTTTTCAACAACATTTTTCTGTGGAAAAATTTACATTAAAATGATGTAACTTTCATTATTTTTTGCCATTTTGTGATTCCATGGGTTCTTTAACAAAAAAAAACAATTTGATTTACAAAATCAAATTAAACAGCTTAAATAATATAAAAGAGAAGTATACGATACATTAGACGATTTTAAAACAAGATCCTTTATTAAATTGAATTAATCATAATAATATTACTCTTTTTTTTCAAAAATATGATTATTCATCTTTTAATATTATTTATTTAATTTTCACTTTAATTGATGAACAATTACTTCTTGATGATTTACTATCTGATCAATCACACTAATATTGCAATTTATCATCATTCAATTATTGTCGACAATATGATAATGAAGTTTTTTTTCGCGTAGAAAAGTTAAATTTTTTTATTTATAAATCTTCTTAACGATCATATCAAAGATCAATCACAAAACCTTTCAAATTGAATACGTTTTCACAAGAGATTTTATTTATATTCAAGATCTTTTAATAATTTATGATTTTCAAATATATGATCAATGCATTTTGTTTATTTACATGTAGATTTGACTTTCTATTCGATTCTGTAACTTGTTTTTTAAACATCATATTTCAAATGGACATGAAGAAAATCGAAGGTGATACTGCTTTATCATAATTACAAATATAGACTCGAAATTTCTTTGTCCGTGTTGGTAAGAAAAAGAAATCTTGACCAGTTTTAAATAAACATATCATATATTTATCATGTGTGTCTCATTTTTGAATCAACATATAAGAGAAAAAAAGCGAGAGCAGAGAACAAGTAGAAACAAAGTAGAAGAGATAGAAGAGAAAGAGAATATCAAGCAGTTACATATGTATCACGATTGAGAAACGATCCTCGCTCGTTTCTTAAGTATCTTTATCAAGTAGAACACCATGGTTCTTACATAAGTCTTTTGTAGACATCATATGTAGTATTTGTATCTGGTTTTGTCAATTCTTCAATTTCTTTGAGTAATTCATTTTTTCGTTTATTTATGTCTACCTCTTCCTAAAATAAACAAACATTCAAAAAAAATCATGTTCTTTATTGTTTCATTTCTGTTAGAATAACATGGGCTAATTGAATAAAGTCAGAGTACGTAGCTAAAACAGTTGAGTTTGCTTCTAGTTAAAGTTTTGAACGAAGAAAAAATATCTTACCGAAAAATGTTTGTAAGGAACACTATTTAATATTTCTTTACAATCGTAGAGAAATCATTTATATGCTGGTAGAATAAGTAATATACCAGACTTGTCATAAAGATATCATGTATAATTCTCATACTGTCATTTTAACATTTTCATGCGTTATGGATGTCAACTCGCTTTTGTTTTGTGAATTCTCCATATGGAATGAAAGAATATTTCATATCTTTGATTAAATCGTAAAAAGGTTCTCTTTAATCAGTATACGACTATTTAATCATTAAAACTCTGTTATCTAAGGTCAGTTTTTGAATAAAAATTTGATGGAATACAATAAAGTCAAAGGGTTCTAGACTTTCAAAAAGCTAACAGACTTTAAGAGAATTGATGATATTTTACCCATTATTATAGAAGATTAAACGTCTTTCAAGAGCTCTACATAATATCAAAAAACTTCAGTGAACTCTCGAGGCCTTTTACAACTTGATTAGACTTAAAAATACTTGATGACAGTTTAAGATTTATACTTATTGTCATAAAGTTTGCTGCTGATTAATGGTATTCTAAATCATGTCCTTTGTTGAGTGTGAGTGTGTTGGTATTCTCTATTCTCACACCTACGCCAACATCCATATCCACATCCTCACGATCATAATGATACTTACATAGCAAATTGAACATGTATCCTCGATAGTTGTCAGATAACATCGGCAAAAAATTATTGAATATACTTTCAATATGCATAATCAATGTTTCCATTGTTTGGTCATCAGCAGGACTACATGAAAATCCATTGATATCAGTATTTGATATTGAATTTTTACGTAAAGTATTTAAAGTCGATGCTTGTTGTTGTTTCAATCCTTGGATTATCGTTTAAACAATGTCAATGACACTTCCCAAGCATCGTTTCAATTTTTTGTTGCCTTCAAAGGCATCTATCGTTGATTTCGTTTGAAAATGTAATAAAGATTTCGTCAAATGGTGATACTAAATCGAAATTTGATATGCTTGCATGGTGAGTGAAGAGCAACAACTGAAAAAAAAAAGGAAATGAATCAAAGAAAAATGCTTGATCGAAACAAAAAATTTTCGCTATGGATGGTAATTTCGTTTATTCGTAACACTCAAAAACCTGTTAAACAGAACAAAAAGAAAACTAAAGAATAAAGAGTTATGAGAACTAATGTATTTGATTTGCACATTCATCACCATGATCGCCATGCTGTCCAAGAAAAAGTCGTAAAACAAACCTTATACAATGCCGAAATTTTCTATTTGTTAGTTCAACAGAACTGTTTTTGCCAATGTCTATTGATACCCTGTTATTTTACTCGATCTCCCAAACACCTACACAGCCAATTACGATCATTGAGAAATGAATATAACAGTTGTACTTGATGATTAAAAAACGTTTACGAAAAACTATAGAACCTACGTACAAAATTAACAAAGAAGGGTAAAGATCGAAGTTTGAGAACGAGAAACTTATAATCACAATAATCCGAAAACTGAATAGAAAATGAGCATTTTTCTAACGAATTCCTCTGTTTTGTAGAATATATGAAGGGATCATATATCTCGTTGAATTTGCATCAGCACATGTATGACATCTGACTTGCATGGATGAAGTACCAGAGGAGAATATTCATTCTTCATCCTACACTTCTTTTGAAAGCTATTTAGCTTGAGAAAATCACTGAAATTTTTTTTCTTTTTGTTCTTCTCATTGTTAATCTTTCATGAAGCACTCGAGTGCATATACTCAACATGTACAGTTTTCTCTTTTCTGATTCTTCAATTTCCCAGTTGGTGTGTGGGTGTTATTGAAGAGACGAACATACCCACACCCTTATTTGATATCACTGACATAACGAAATAAAATGAACAGAATTAGACAGTTACATGATACACATATTTAGATTTTATTACAAATGATAGTAATTCTGTCTCCAACTTTCCAAGGCTATCTACTGAATACTATCAAAAGAACGACTAACACAAGTGAAAAGTTACATGTACGAATACAAAAATTTTTAAATCAGATCTGTTGTCATGTAATTTTTGCTTTTGTTGTTCTTCCCTCTTCCCCTCTCCATTGGATGATGTTGGATGATATTTGTTGAAAGATCGAGAAAGGATTACTATAAGTTTAAATAAAAACCAAGCATTAATCTCTTTAGGCACCAAACATATTTCAAGATTTGAGATAAGTTCTGAGTATTAATGGGAATCAGCTACGTCACTACAAACGATGACACTAAATCTGCCAGAGGTTTGAATAAACTAGATCTAGATTGTTGTTATTTATAGAGAGTGTATAAAATATATCTGATTTTTTCTTCAATACGGTACGTTCTTGGAGAAACAATAATAGAAAACAAGATTCACCATTATGTCAAAATGAGAATTCTAAAAATAGATTATAACGTTCTTTGGCATGTGATAAAACTCACAAGTGTAACAGATCTATCTGCCTTATTCTTTGACAAGTCATTTCATTTATTTTTCTTTTTATTCAATATTAGTTTTATCAATACATGTTGAAACATTTCAAATTGATCAACCAAATCAAATAGATTTTGAACAGAAAAAAAAGTCATTTTTATATATTTATTTATTCAATATAAAAAAAAAATATTTCGCCTAGAACAATCATTAAACTTTAAAACTAATTGAATTTCTTAAATATCCATGACTTTCTAAACATCTGTTTATCGAACAGTTTTTTTTGTTGTCTTGTTTTTGTTTGTGAAATATTTATCTTCGATGTCTAAGAAATTCTGAACAATAAAAAAGTAAATGAGTAAGTTTGGAAAATAATCCTGTTGACATCATTTTCCTAAACCATACCAATTGAGATCAAAAAATTCTTATTTATATATTAATATAATCATCATGATTGTCAAAATACACCATCCATACTATCAACGAATGAGTGGTGAGCAATGATGATCTACAGGGTGCAACAACAAACTATAACAACAAGTAAATGAAAACATACATAATCATCAACGTCAATCTAAATGAAAGTATATTGTAACATACAATAATAATTTTGGATAGACAATTGACATTGATGTTGAATGATCACGGAAACATTATAAATAGTCTGATTAAATCATTATCTATGTGTAAAAACTTCTCTCAATAAATTGTTTATGTTTTAGCTTTAATTATCAAAAAGATGTTCTACTTTAATTTGATATTTCGAATGGTTTATCAGTTCAATTTTTCCATAATAAGATAATAAAAATCAATTGATAGTTCTACCAAATATTTGAGAATTATGAAGTTATACGAATGTTTCTTATACAAAAATTCTGTAACTCCTTATCATTATAGCAAAAGAATTATTCAATCATATATATTTTTTCTATGAACACTGTCTTTATTTTAAAGTTACATTCATACAGATCGTTTATCCTATAGAAATATTGTTTTGATCAACGAATATTCTAAATCATGATTATCATTTTCCATAACAATTGTCATTCAATTCAGATTACTCAAAGAACAAAAAAACCAACAACTAGTATGTCAACGTTTCATACATATCCTCTTTGCATTGAAAATAACGATATTATCTTAAATATAAATAAGCATTAATAAGTTTTATTGAACGAAAAAAAAACAGAAACAACTAAAAAAAAATCATTCAAATATATGAATTATTAAACAAGTCTTCCAATATATTGAGTTTTTGGATAAATTTCAGTTAATTGTGGCCATTGAACAAGAATATGTACAGGTAAATATTGAAGAATTTTTCCACTTAATGATAAAGATTGCACACGACATATACTTTCAACAAAAACAATTTTTGGTCGATCAATAAGAAAGAAAAGCTAAGAAAATAAATAAGAATAAATATTTTGATCATTAATTTGAAAGCAAATGAAAACAAAAAATATTTACTGATAATAATAGACTAGCAATAACAATTGGAATACATGTACCTGGACCATTGATAAGAATCTAATTGAAATCAAAGTAATAATATATGATGAATCTTATAATAAACTTACAAGTTTAGGTCTAATACGATAAACTAATGGAATAACAGTAAAAAATGCCCAAAGAGTAGTAAAAATAGAACTAAAATAACTTTGACCAACATGACGACTTCGATTAATAAATGAAACATTCATATCATCCAAAGTCTAAAAAAAAAACATAGCTATTATCTTTTATTAAAAGTTTCGCCTCTATTGAAATTAATATTTTATTTTATTTTGGCATATAAAGTTCGAATGCAGTATATCAATATACAAAAGCATTAGAGACATTTACTATATACGTTTTATCTACTTCTTTTCTGAGAAAAGTGGAAATTATGGAAAAGTTTCGAAGATACTAGAAGAAATGGTAGAAATCCAAATATATAAAGCAAATCAAATAAGTGGAGAAAAATTCTCGAATGATCAATCAATTGAGAGAAAGTTGCAAAAATTCTAAGGGTTGTGTGAAGGTATAACAAAATAGTTCAAAGCCCATGAATATCCTGGAGTAGATTTCAGATTACAAAAATTCCAAAATCTGCCATTTCTCCGTCATCTAAAGGCATAGTTCATATATCTTCACTTTGCACAAAGAAATAGACAACACAACAAAGTCTATTCACATAATAAATGTCTCTAAAGCCTCTATCTACAGATATGCTGCATCTGAACGCTGCATAAAATAAAATATTCATTGTAAATTAATGCTCACATTCTGTTCAAATTCTTTCATTTTCTTGGCACTCATTGTGTCCGTAGATGCAATAGTATAATATCTTGGTTTATATACGTTCAAATCAGTACCTGATAATAGACGAAACATTTCCGTTGTATGACCACCTAATGATCATAATTATATACGTTAATGAATATTTCAATATATATTCACTTACCAGAACCAAGTACAATTAATGTTGAAATTGTTTTCTTTTGATTCATATTTATTTCACTTTTCTATTATAGTCTACAGAAAGTATTAAATAAGATGAACAAAATAATTAATTGGAAATTTTGATTTTAATGATAATATTTTATTTAAAAACAAAAACGAAAAAAAAAACTGATATTGCCAATCTTCTTATGATGGAATACAATAGACAAATAAATAAGAAGTTGTTTTCATTTTTAGATGTTTATGATGCAGCTTGTTGATTTGAATTTGGTCCACGACGACGACCCACTCCGGTAACCTTGTTAACAAATCGTTGTTTGTATTGAAGACGACGTTTAGCACGTCCAGTTTTCTTCTTACGTTTTTCTTGTTTAGCAACCTAAATAGAATAAAATTTTTCCATTTTCTTCAATAAAAATTTTATTTTATATTACTTTTGGTGTTTGACCTTTCACTTTACCAGCACGAGCCAATGAACCATGGACTTTACCACCAAATAATTTCATAGTAGCATAAAGTGTTGAACCAGATATAAGTCCACATTGTTCAATTGTTTGTTCATCGTTCAATAGTGTACCATGATAACTTAATACAAGTTCATTCATATCAACATCATATTCGTCAGCAATATATTCCTGAAGAAAAAAAAATATGGATTTAATCATGAGTCTAGAATATATAAAATAACTTACACGAATGTCTTGTACGGTATGATCGTTTTCAAGTTCGAGCGGAATGAGCTCAGTGTCACCACGAACAAATACTTGCATGATTTTTGTTTTTAATCTATCTCGTAACTAAAACAATGAATGAACAATTTAAGAAAAATTAAGATTATATTACGAGTCGTAAAAAGAGAAATTTCGAAATTAATAATTATTCATAGTATTTTCACTAGTCATTTCTATTGGGTAATTATTGGGATAGGCGAATGTTTATATACAAGAAAAAAACTGAATGATTTTAGAAATTTTTAAAATTTTTATTAAAACTATATTTCTTTAATAAAACAATATCAAAAATCAAATAATCTTCATTTTTATAACATATGTTCTTAATGATAGATGTCGCTCATCTACAGTCATATGAAGCGATATTGAACCGAACACTCATCTCTGATTTTTGCAATTTTGATGTAGTTTCTGCTATAGAAGAACACAACTCTTCTTTGATTACTGTTGTATTTTCGTTTTTCATCTCAAGCTCTTAAATAACTACAACAAAAAAAAGCAAAAAACAATCGCTGAAATAAAGCACATCCTATTTTGACATAATGTCCGACGAAATAAAAAAAGAAGAAACACTAAACATTCACTATGAGAAAGAAAAAAAACATGTTCTACTCATGCTATAAATCTGACATGTTCATCAAAAAGAAACAAATAATAAAAATAACATTTTTAACATTAAAAATGCACACTGTTTATTATAATGCGTCATCGTCATATTATCATTTGTAATTGATAATAGTTTATTTGTCACCGATTTTTTTTGCTTTTGATGATTTTATTTTTGGGAACTTTCTAAAATCAACTAAAATTCCAACAACTGATAAGTGAACAAATACTTTTTCCGATGCAATACGTGCGCTTATCTGATATAGAGACATATTATTCATGCATTTTTTGAATAGAGCGTGTGAGTGTGTATCCTAGTGTGAGGATGGGCATTGCTCCCACTCACAATCTTTCTATCGTAGGAAGTTAGAAATGAAAACAAACTAATCCTATAAATAACAGAATAATCGATCAGACTACTCGTTCAACATTGTTTTGTAACTCTTGTGCCAATATTTCGAGAAGGACCTTCTTTTGTATCACACTATCTCCTGTATGCCGCATAGACAAAAATGAAATGATTATATATTTCTTCTGGTGAGAATATGAGTGAATCAGTTGTTTCGTTATAAAATGTAAAAAATAAACTATATGATCTATTCAACTTTAATCATTTTTTACTCATGACAATGAATACAAAAAACAATAACTAACACGATAAGCGAAAAAATTCAAAAGAGAATTGATTAATATATGAATCAACAAAAATGAATTTCTAAATTAATCGATCCATAAATCAAATTGTTCTTCAGACCATTTACAAATAAAATTATTTTCATTTAATTTTGTTCTTGATTGATCTATTAACCATTGTCGAATATCTGAATTGTTTGTTTCTGTTGATGCTGCAAATTTCGAATAATTTATACTCAAAAAAGATAAATGTTTCAATTTGCGTATTAATAATGATATCAATTCATTTGATTTAAATGCTCTTTTAATAATTAATTGTTCGATATTTGAAAATAAATAACATATTTTTCTCATTTGTTTTTCTGTTAATTCCATTACGCACCAAAAATCAATTCCTAATTGTTTAATTTTTTTTAGTTCAACTATGATTTGACGACGATTATGGGATGTTGCTCTTCTTAACATTTCTATTAGATAATTATAATCTATTTCAATTGATATTTGTGTTGTATTATATTTTAAAATATCACAGAATAAATTTGAATTAATTCGAGTTTTAAATACTATATTTTTAATTGATGATATATTTAAATATCGATTCAATTGATCATAGGTTATATCATCCGATATTTTCCATATTTCTAATGATTGTAGATTGGTAAAATGATCTTTTGATATTATATCTTTTGTTTTAATTTCATGTAAAATTAATTGACGAATATTTGAAGTATCATTTATTTTTGCTGTTGATATTCGTTGACATGATGTCAAATATCTTAATTTATTTTTCATATATGGTACTGTATAGATATATAAGCTACTTTCGTTCATGTAATAATCACATGTAACAAACCATTTTTTTCCTATTAACCAAAAATCTGTCATAAATGATTCGATTAATTCATTAATATTTATAATATTTCTGTCTAAGTAAGAATTGAAGAAAAATTTAAAGATTTCTAATTGAGGTATATATTTTTGAATAAAATTTTTCCATTCATAACCATGGTTAATGTTGTTTTCATTAAGAGAAAAAGGAGAGTTACCTTCTAATTCTAACTGCTTCAATTGAGTTAAGCATGACAAATATAGAAGTAAATCTAGACTCCTCTCTCTATGGAACCCGTGCATTTTTAGAGAAGTTAATGTTTCAAATGTATGCTGTTGTGGATAATATATAGAATCAAAAAAAAAAATTTCATGAATATGAATTGATTTCATATTTGCTGTGTGTAAATTGAGCCATCCTAAATTATGAATAAACATCTTACCAAATTCATAATATTCGATAGTTGATTTTTGTATTAACAATGTTTCATTCACTCTATAAATTCATAACCAGAACCATCCCATGTAAAGTATTTTAATGTTTTTATTTCAAATAATATTATATTACGAATTTTGTTTTTTGTATCATAGTCAGACTTATAATAAAATTTATTTTCAGATATTAATAAATATTTTAATTGTTGAAAATTTGGTAATAATAAAATAAGGTATAGTAATTGATCAGTATCCTTCGGAATAAATGACAATGATTGAAGTCTAATATAAAATAATTCTATAGGATATTTTAATAGACATTGTTCAATATTTGTACATGAATAAACATTATTCGATAATGTTAATGATTTAACATGTTGAATGTTAAGTGGTAAATTTTCAATAAGATTAAATTTTGATTTCATTATTATTTTATCAAAATTTAAATGATAATATTCATATGAATGTAATAATAATTGAAAACGATAATTAAGATTATTAAATGCATAGATGATATCATCACAATATAAATATTCAAATAAGTTTAATATTAATTCATTTGGTAAAAATTCAAATATTGATATATTTGGTTTCAATGTTTTCAATCGTCGAACAAGATGATAAACATTGCAATTCAATGTATTCCCATCTTCGTGATCATTATTAGAATCGTTTATACCAAAACATTGTCTAAGTAACATGATTTACAAACAAACAAACAAACGAAATATATCGTAGGATGCTTTTATATATGATTTGTCTCGACTCAATTTTATCAACTGATAAGAAAGATAAGATAGTGAAACATGCCATGTTGAGAAGCTGTTTTATTATTCAGTTGAAGAAGATAATCAAGTTGTTGTTCTAAACGACATTCAAGCGTATTTGAATAAGATTCCTGTTTTGATCTTTGATACTTTTTATGAATAGATTGTTTTCATACTACACTTTTTTGCCAACTGCTGACTATCAAGGAAATATTCTCAGGTGCCAGAGCGCTTTTCAGCCTGAGTTTCGCGCATCGTGTAGTCCATAGTGAGCTGTGTCTATGGTAAAAAAAAAAGTTCGTGTTTCTGGCTTGTTTCTGAGGAGATATCGAGCTTCTAGTGAAGTTTCTCTATAGTAAGCCTACATTGGCAGCATTTTCCAATTTTGACCTGAAATTTTGCCTGCATACAGGTCTCAGCTAGACTAGTTTGCATAGAAAATTCAGAAGTTTTGAATAAAATATCTCTAAGATACGAAGCTTTGAAAAAAAAGTGCATACTATATATATTGTTTATGAAAAAGAGACCATGCCTTGATAGTTTCATATCTTAGAGAGACTTTATTCAAAACTTCTGAAATTTTCTATGCAAACTAGTCTAGCTGATGCCTTTATACACGCAAAGTTTCAGATCAAAATTCAAAAGTATAGCTTTGGTGCCGCCAATGTAGGCATACGATAGAGAAAATTCACTAGGAGCTCGATGTCTCCTCAGAAACAAGTCAGAAACCCAAACTTTTTTTTATCATAGACACAGCTCACTATAGGCTACAAGATACATGAAACTTCGGCTGAAAAGCGCTCTGGCATCTGGGAATGTACCTTTGTAAGCTTAGTTTTATTTTATGATCAACAAATACTGATATCATTCCACTATTTACTTCATTTGATGATGGTTGCATTGATTTAGCATGAGTCTTAATTAAACGAAGACCATCTTTATACGTCATACAACTAGCATAGAGAAGTGCTGTTATTTCACCGATACTAAAATCAACTGTTACGACACAATTTTTTACTGAGAAATTGAAATCGAATTTATTATGAATTAAATTTCTTCAGAGGCTATAAAATGGTTCAGAGAAACATAGATGTTAATTTGACTTCATGTTTAAAAAACGCATGTATTCTTTGGTATTAAATTTTATTGGTTCGCTCTTTCCTTTTCTCCATTATTGAAACAACACGACATAGATATTGCTTCTATTCGCACTCAGTAAAGTGATCAAAAAAAAAGAAATCAAATATCACGATGTCGTTCAATTCTCTTTCTCCAACACATGATCGCTGAATCAACCATATCACCTTACACTAAGAGCAGCACACTTGATGGATCAGTCCGTATCATTGGTATATCAGGAAGGCTAATATTCTATTTATAAAGTTATTTCATTAGTAGTTCTTCTAGAACCTCTATGGAAGATAAATGGTTAATGTTAACATTGAAAAAATGATTGATTTACCGAGCAAATATAATAGTTACTGAACACTAAATTGTATACTGATACTTAGTATAGAATGTTGAGTGTTTAGTATTTTCTCAAACATATATAGTGATGGTATGATTTTTTACTATTTGACTTTCACTTTTTAGTTTTTGCACACCAGCTGATGATGCCACATAAATAATAGGTTGAGTACAAGAAGTGGTACTGAGTTCTGTAATCGATTCTTTGATACATTGAGAATGAAGATTACAACCAAATATTCGATAAACAATATTAAATATTTCTTTGACAGTTAAATAATTAACAACTTGTTGTCTAAATGTTTGTTTTTATTATTTTGATACAAATAATAGATGATATTAAGTTTTCACTATACTAACAAATGGTGTACCTTGACCAGAAAAAAGAATAATACTCGTTATACTTGGATCGATGAATGGTCTTGATAATTTTTGTTCATCATTTTCATTTTCAAATTTTTCTTGATTTAAATTATCTTTATTGATAAACAGACTAGATACACCTATCATCTTCTTTGATTCTTGCTCAAGTCGTCGGAATTCTAGATGAGAGAATTATTCTTGTATCAATATTTCATTATTATCATCATTTATCGATATATTTTGATCTAAACTTGTACACGATGATATTGATAATTGTGGGCGTACAATTGAACGGTGAGTATTACTGTTAAAAGACACTTTGATCGATGTACAAAACCGATTCTTTCGAGATAATTAACAACATCGAAAACAAGGTCTTAATGAATATCAAAATAGTACCATTCTGGAAGAAGAAATCATACAAAACAGGTTTTTCTTGTTCACTGATCACATGTGCTGTTATCTGTTTGACTGCAATCTAAAAAAAGGGTGTCGACGTGGGGCTGGACCTGCATGTTAAAATTCAAATCCCATATCGGCATCGGCATCCACACTCGAAACAAAATCTCACGTAACTTATTTACTTCTATTCGTGATATGTATTGAAAGTGAAATCGAACAGCAAATTTGAGAAGGTATAGAATATTTCTTTCTAATAGTTGTAAATATGTTCCAATAACATACTGTCAAGAAACAATTCTGAGAATTGTAAAATTTTTGTTGATGAGAACGGTTGCATCAATAAGAGTGTTAGAGATAATATAATTGCCTTTTCTTTTCAGATCTCTAAAAGTCAGTATTGTTTTATGAAATACAATAAAATGTAAAATGGTTAAAATTGTCATTGGGTCATGTTTAACTTTATAAATGAGACAGTAAATGAGAGCAGACATTTTTTTCCTGGCTCTATAACGTCGTCTCTATCGATTGATTGCAATCTTTAATTATAAGTAAAAACTGAGTCTATCATTAATTTCACACTTTTATTTTACTGTATTCTGGTTCGATTGACATACATCATTATGTTTTGAAAATTGAAAATTTTCTTACCAATCAGTGAATGCATCATCACTTTTTCACCTTTAATCAATATTTATTATGTGTTGTAAGAAGAAATGCAAGAAGAAAATAGTACTTACTTTGCCATAAAAGCTCTTTCAAATCATTCACTCAAGAATTCTCAAGCTTTGGGTTGAATTTTTGAAGTAGAATGATTTCAAAAAATGATTTATTTCGAAAATAATCATTGTTGTTATGTGCTATGCCTTAGAATATTTGGAAATCGTTTTTCATTGAAGAATTATTTTAAATTGTAGTTCTATAATGGAAATATTCATAGAGCTAGTCAATTGTCAACATCCCATTCAAGAATATCTATAAAAATATCAAAGCATGTTTCTTTTTTTGTGTCTACTTGATCTTGCTACTTTTCAGAACGTGAAATTAATTTGATCTAGCAGAAAAAAAGCTAGAGTTTGTAGATATCAATTCATGCTGGTATTAAAATGGAATATTATGTTTAGTTCTTAATAGGTTTCTTAAAAAAAAAATATTTTGAAGCACACGATAATACATTAGATGTCTTGATATTTTTTGCTCAGATCATTTTAACATAGGTTTTCACTATTCATAAATACGTTCACAAGTATTCCAAATATTGAATTTTCTTTCGTCTAAAGTATCGGATAGGCTTGTAAATCGACACTATCATAGATAACAATGTTGATTTCTATGATGAGCATGGGTAATTTCGGTGTGTCTTCGTATATATTCTACAATAAATGATACTCAAATAAGCAATTTTTTTTAATTATTTGTTCTCTCCGGTTGATTGATCACTTATGAAGGAACAAGTTCCTTCATAAGGTGAACGAAGGTATCTTATAAGATACCTTCGTTCACCTTATGATCACATGTAACAAACCATTTTTTTTCTATTAACCAAAAATTTGTCATAAATGATGCGATTACTACCTCAATATTTATGTGACGATCCCATCGAGTGAAGAAAAATTTAAAAATTTTTAATTGAGGTAAATATTCTTGAATAAAATTTTCCCATCTATTACCATCAGTATACATATTTTCCTCACAATAAAGACCTTTAATTTCTAATTGTTTCAATCGTATTAAGAATGACAAAAATTTAAATAGATTTTGAAAGTTCATTGGTTCACGAAACTCGTCAATTTTCATACAGGTCAATGTTTCAAATGCTTGTTGTTGTTGATATGAATAACTATAAAAGAAAGCGGCATAAATATGAATTGATTTCATATTGATTGTGTGAAAATTTAGCCATTCAAATTCATCAATATTCATCCGATGAAATTCATAATATTCGATCGTTGATTCTTCTATTGGCATTGCTTCATTCATTCTTGTAAAAAATGAACTTTCATTATCCCAAGTAAAATATTTTAATGTTTTTATTTCAAATAATATTATATCACGAATTTGTTTTATTATATTATCACCAGGATTTGTACACAATTTTTGAGATATTAATAAATATTTTAATTGTTGAAAATTTGGTAATAATAAAATAAGATATAGTAATTGATCATCATCCTTCGGAAAAAATGACAATGATTGAAGTCTAATATAAAATAATTCAATAGGATATTTTAATAGACATTGTTCAATATTTGTACATGAATAAACATTATTCGATAATGTTAATGATTTAACATGTTGAATGTTAAGTGGTAAATTCTCAATAAGATTAAATTTTGATTTCATTATTATTTGATCAAAATTTAAATGATAATATTCATATGAATGTAATAATAATTGAAAACGATAATTAAGATTATTAAATGCATAGATGATATCATCACAATATAAATATTCAAATAAGTTTAATATTAATTCATTTGGTAAAAACTCAAATTTTGATATAATCGGTTTCAATGTTTTGAGTCGTCGAGCAAGATGATAAATATTGCAATTCAATGTATTCCCATCTTCGTGATCATTATTAGAATCGTTTATACCAAAACATTGTCTAAGTAACATGATTTACAAACCAACAAACGAAATATATCGTAGCATCCTTTTATATATGGTCTGCCTCGACTCAATTTTATCAACTGATAAGAAAGATAAAAGATAGTGAATTGTCTAATTTTATAATCAAACAGTTTCAAAAATTGATTGTCGTTGAATACAATAAATATCAACCGTTAAAAATTTTAGCAGACTATTGTTTCACCAGAATATTATATCACTATTGGATTTTAGATTTGAATTTTTGAACTATTAGTAAGTAATTATATCAAGAGAAGTAACTCATGCAACCACCAAACGCATTTTAGACGCAGCTAGATGCGTTTTTATTGCAAATCTCGACGTTCTGATGCGTTTCACATACAAACGCATTTATATCATTTTATGCCTCTGATTATGTTTAATGATTAAAAGAACCTATCTCTCTTACAGTGAACGCTGTCTAATTGACAGGGTCGAACAGATACGTTTCATAGGATGCTCATGTCAATATATGAAATTTGTTGAAATGCGTTCGGATGCATTACTTTTTGGAACGCAATTGAATATATAGTTATATAGCTAGTTTAATTAGTTCAGATATATATTTTAAAAAAGGAAGCTACATCTGTACGAAAATGTGTCTATAAGTCTAGCGTGCTGTATCTTGGTTTGAATGTTATTGTGATTGGAGAAAATACTGTGTGTAGTGATATTAAATTTAGAAGTTAGTAGCTGAAAGCAAAAGATTACTTTCCTAATTCATTTGGATAAACATATGATCTTTCTATTAACTCAGTCTAATAAGAATAAGAAGCCAAAACATAAGTCTATGAATGGCTCTTTATGATGCATATGTCAAGAAGAATAATTTTGAAATATATCTATTTACGCTTTCAATCGATGATGATTATCTTGCTTTCGTTACTATTGCGTGTAATGATTCAGAATCACACAAACTGATTTAAGTTTATAATACGAACCTGAGTAGTAGATTCTACACGAAAAGCTATCTGTTTTTATTGAGATTAGAATAACTCAATGATATTCTTTTACTGCACATGTATTTATACTTAAGCTCTTAATGCGTCCCTGAGCGTCTATAAACATTATAACTTGATGCGTTTGAACATGTCCAAAAGAACCAAACATGTCAATACTCATCCATGCTCAAAACAAATTAATATACGCTTTCTGGCTTTTCTACGTTACGGTACTGTTATGAGAAAATGCGTTTACTTTATTTTCAAAAAAGTCAAAAAATACCATCAGTATGTGTCGGAATCGAACCGAATTCTAACATTCAAACTGTATCTCTTGCATTAAAATTTAACCAAGTTGAGTTTGATTTAACAGATTCATTATATTAAATGAGTGATCCTATCATAATTCACTGTTATTTGCATATCTCTTATTGGAAATATTCAACTGTTGACAAAACTGTATGTTTCGTTTTACATTACTTCTAAAACGCTTCGGCATGCACACGCGGTAGATCACGATCTTAAATCTTTTGTTATAAATACTATCGCCTCTTGTCTAGACAAACAAATAAATTTTATGCATATGTTAGTTTTATTTTCAACAATTTCAGTTTATCTCAATTTCACAAGCACTTTTTCAAATAGATTTGTTGGTTCATCTTTATTGTTATTTATAACCAAGAATGAATGAAAATAAAACTTTTATATTTATACAATAAAGGTGAATACAATAAAGAATTTTATTACTTAAACTCATTTATTCTTCCAATAACTCTCTTTTATAAAATATAGAAATTTTAAATTATTTCGCATTCACTCGACTTTAAATACATCAACATCTTCTTCTCGGTATTTCCAGTGCAATTTGAATAATGTGAACAATCCTCCTTCCGTTAGAACATTTTCAAGGTAGATTGTGTGTTGACCACTAGGTTTGTCAATTTCAATTTTGGTGACATAAAATAATGTCAATGGAAACATGAGAACCTCATGTTCGTCATCAAAGTCGGATATGGAAGGCAAAGTATCAGATAGACGAAATAATTGAATAGCTGTGTCACATTTTTCTGAGAACTTAAACACCATCAAAACAGGAATCGTGTTAGAAGATGAAGACCCAATAAAGCGACAAGCCACATCCTTGTCGACGGACGTCGAACAGAAGCTCGTTGTTGACAGGATGCTACCTTTGTGCATTAGAGCCCATTGATATGCCCGTAGATCCTGTCGAGTCATTGTCAAACCGCGAAATGAGCGACCTTGATACGCACGCTTTCGCAAATTGTCCAGTTTACAAAATAATGGAAATAATAGACACCCATTTTCTCCACGTTTACCAAGACTTTTGTAAAAGGGTGTTTCGAGCGAATAGAGGCGTAAGAGATGTTCAACATTCTTGGTTTTTGAATATTTCAAGACAAATTCGCAAGCTTTCTGGTACTCAGAATGCGATGGAGTGACGCGTTCATCAATAAGAAGTTGTAAAGCTTTTGCAGCTGTACTTTCGTCGAATACAAAATCGATGTCATCTTTGTTATCTTTGTCACGATACAAACGCTGAAATAATGATCGCAGAATCGATGAAGCACAGAGCGTTTTTGCAAAATGTGCGCCCGCCTGATAAAAACGAATGTTTTTTTCATTATTTGCTCCTACAACCCAGTCGTTGGGGGCCTCATCATTATCGTCTTCATCTTCTGCTTGTTCACCAACAGTGGAAGTAAATAGATGCTCAGCATCGGCAATAGTGTCACTACAGAATCGTCGTGAATTCGATGAACGGTGAAATAGTTGACGAATCTCCTCGGTAGCTGCCTCCTCATATGCAGTGAGACCGTGTCGATTTCGTCGATGACGCATAACACCGTATTTATGAAGAAGGAGTCGAACAATCTCAGCATGGCCGAAGAAAGCAGCTGCATGTAGAGCTGTGCTTCCATTCGGTTCGAGACGATTGATATCGACGTAGATAGTTGATGCAAGAATTTGTTGAACCGTCTTCAGATTACCCGCTCGGCAAGCCCAATAAAGATCACTGGCTTCGCCTTGTTGGGGATTACGAAGAATTGATGCCTCATTCTTCTCTTCGACGCTTGCGTTCGATCCCATTCGTCGTTTCTTACACTGAAAAGACGAAAGAAAATGATTTTAGTTTCTGTAAAGATAAAACCAGCAGTTCCAGGGCAAGGATGTGGGCGAGGAAAACAGATGTACCTTTACTGTTACAACGAAAGTGCGACATAGAAGTTGTGGGTGTAGGTGAGTATGAGTCTTCTTTTCGCCTATACTCTAAAAAAAAAATTCGTTTTCTCGGAAACTCGAATTCTTTTGGAAACTGTTTCGAAAACCTGTGAGTGTATGCGGAAAGGTTTCCGGGCTCATGTCAAGTTTCTGAAAATATCGTCTAGGTTTCCGGACCTCCGTAAACCAATGGGTTTTTAGAAGACCGGATCCGAAAATTCTCCACCGTACGCTCAGAAGCCTTGATTTAGTCCCAAGAGCTGGAGAGTTTCATCGGAAACCGCTTCTCACTTGAAAACCTTCACGACAGTCGTATGCGTATCCTCCAACACCTTTCGGTTGTTGGCTTTTTTTATTGAAAACTTTTTTGGGTTTCCCAGCAGTACTGCCACTTTTTGAAGTCCAAAAAGCAGCAAATAACAACAGTTTTATCATAGAAAAGTAGAAAGACAGCCGAAAGTATGTTTATGATATGAAACTAACGGGTAGCTCGTAATAAAAGAGGGTTTCAGTATTTTGTTAACATCTTAAGTGTTATCTTATCGCTCACGCTTTATTTTTTTAATCAAAAGATTCACCCTCTGCTTCTGCGCAAATTGCATATTTCGTTGTAAAAATATTTCTTTCTCTTTCGACATCATCACGATTTAAAAATAGCACTATACACAACTTTCAAAATCTCTATTTTTTTCAATTTTTTTCGAAAACATCCAGTCCTAAGATTAGTCTTATTACCATTGGCCGTACCATATTCTTTATCCAGAAATAAAAAAATTGCCTTTGGTACGTCGATTGAAATGAACCAGTTTATCTCTTGAGTGGTGAACAAATTATATCCAAAGTAACAGGACTAATTGAGAAAGTAGACATTTTGGAAAAAACTTGAAAAAAATGAAGACTTTGAAAGTTTTGTGTAATGCTTGTTTTAAATCGTGATGATTTTGAAAGAGAGATAAGTGTTTTTTACAGCAAAATATATCAATTTCTGCAGAATCAAACGGTGAATCTTTCGATAAAAAAATAAAGCGTAAGCGACAAGGTAGCGTTTAAGATGTTAACAAAATACTAAGACCCTTTTTTTATTACGAGCTACCCGTTAGTTTTAAATTTTAGTTTCAGTATACTAATCACTCGCATTCTATGGCATCACAAAACACAACTAATAAATAAATAGACAGAATCATTGAACACGTGGGTGTGAGTGTGGGTGGGTGGGGTGTGGATGTGAGTGTTAATTATCATGTTTCATTGATCATCACGGGTGACTTGTTTGTGAATCGATCGAATAATATACGATAATTGGAACAAATAGATTTAATGATAATACTATTTTCAAATGAAGTATAGAGAATTTTTAACGAACTAAATTAAACAGTTTCTACTTCTAACCATTTTTCGATTCTATCAAAAATAACTTTTTATTTCTATCCATTCCTCCCAGGTCAATGATTCCGACACTCGATTTCATAGATTTCCTATTGGAACCCACGAGGAAAAATATCGTTTCCGATTGGAAAATAACAGAAAGTTGACATTAGGAATACAGTGGCCGTATCTGGAAGCTTGCTGCTCTGCTCGGAACTGGTCGTAAAATCATTCACCTGAGTTCCTACCCTAAATTTAGCTGAATAATACTGATTTTTCTCGTTAAAAAAATATGATTATTTTTAGGTACGTTTCCTCATGTCTTTCTTGAATTAACTGATACTGAAGTAAATGATTGTTACAAACCATCGGATTTAACGATTGGAAAAACAATTAATATTTATGGTCGAAATTTTCTTATTAATGATTGTGATTTGTTTACAAAAACATTTTATACAAAAAATGTTGGTGTTAGTAATTTTGAAACAATCAATACTGAAGAGCCACGTAACGAGTTTTCGAAAATGGTAAAATATGTTCTAACTATATTTAATTGTTAAAATAACAAAGAAAACTTCTATAATTTATTAGGAAATTCCGCCATATAATAGATTTGGTTCGTTGTAAGGTTCGTTACAAAATTGTTTATGTCTTCAACCTGAACGACTGGAAAAAGATTATATAAAATTAATGGAAAATGATTATCGCATACTTCGTTATGAAGCTGTTTTATTATGAAAAAATCTACTATTTTCTATTCGTCTTATTCAATATATATATTTTTAATTTATAGGATAGCCCTCGTGGAGACGATAAATTACGTAAATTCATCACCAGTTATCGTCTTAGTTATGATACAATCAGTATTCATGAACTACCTCAACGCCATACAGGTATTATTCGTGGACGATTTCTCCAACAAACATGTGTATCAAAATCAAGTAAATATAATAATTATAAATTTTGATAATCATTGTTTTATTTTCTAAGATTCTTCATTTGAACATCCTCAATTTTATAGTCCAGGTGATTTTTATATTGGTGCAACTATTGAAGTATTTCATCAACGTTTTATTATTCGTTTAGCTGATTTATTTGTATTAAAATATGCTGAACAATTTTCACCGACTGTTATTGAATCATTACGATAATATTTAAGTAATGAAGAAGATCGACCTGATGCTCGACTTAGTAAAAATATACATGTACCACGTAAACCAGGTGATTTTATATGTTTATATGCTGAAATTCGTAATAAATTACAATATATGCTTATAACAAATCCCGAAGAAATTCGACAAATGTTTTTACGTTATGATAAAGCTCGTAATGGTTATATTGCAGGAGAAAATATTTCCGATATATTTTGGCAAATTAATATACCACTTGATCATGATCTTGTCGATGCGATAAAGATAATTAACTAGTGGCGTAATGAAGTGGAGATACGTACAATGTACATCCAGCGGATATTAAACAATAGTCACCATTTCAAAGAGGAATAAGAATTCTAAACTCGGTAAAATGAGCGTGGGCACGGATTTCAATCCGCAGGTTTTTCAAAAATGCTTGGTTTTTTCATTAAACTTCGTTTTTTTTCAGACTTCCAACCATTTCTGTTGACAACCAATGGTATATTCGGAATTAGCTCACAAAAATATTCTGAAGAAAATAATTTTCTAAGTAATATACAATCACTTCTGATCAAATGGAAGTGATATGTCCATCTGTCATGCAAAAAATGCACATTGTAGGGTACTTCTCTCTAACCGATCGAACCCACATTAGGTAAATCGTACCATAAACTCTCTAATGAGATAGACTCCGGTCATATGAATTCCCCTTCCCTCACACTGTTACGCCACTAGAATAAATGACTTAAAACTTCCTATTGTGTTCTTTTTCATATCTAGATGATTGCAGAATGTACAACGTCTTTTTTTTTCCTTTATTTATTTTCAATAAACCAAATGCTCATTTTTTTTTATTTTTTAAACGTTTCATATGTTTCATAGCAGCGATACGTCGACGATTCGTTTCTTTAATTTCAACGTAACGTTTTTTGCTAAATCTAAAACAAAAAAAACCAACAATAAAGTTGAAAATTTTGATTTGTTGACTTTTGAAAAAAAAAGACCATACTTTTTAACTTTACTATCATTATAAAGTTCTTCAAGAATTGTTTTCTTTCGATCTTTCTTCGGAATACGTCGATAGAAATCAGCTGCACTATCAACAACAGTACCAGTCTAATAGAACGAATAGAAGAATTGAGAGTTCTTTTGTTTTTTGTGTTTTGTTTTGTAAAACTTACTTGAAAATATTTCGGAAGACCTTTTACATCACTTCCTTTTTTAAAAAATTTATCAGCATATAAACCACCACGCATTTGAATAGCAATTAGATCATTTTTCTTTTCTTCAGTCATTTCTGGTGCAGGCATATGATACCAATTTTTACCTTTGGTTTTACTTCGTTCGATCTAGCAAAAATAAATCATGTAATAAAGAATTATTTTTTTTTTGTTTCGTAAAATTTTAATTACTTGTCGTTGTCGTTTAGCTTCACGTTGATGAATATCATAGGGTGGTACTTCACTTTTTTTAACAAAATCATCAGTTATGACTGTTTGAGGAATAGACTATGTAAACAAATCGATGAAAGATATAAAATTCTAAATCATCGATATTTACCTGACTGGTAGTTAATGCACTAACAATATTTGACGATCGAGATTTTACTTTTCGGACATCCTAAATATAAATTTAATCTTGTAACTTTCAATCGTGATCAATTTGACTCATGTTATTTAATTAATTAAATTTATCAATTAGATATAGTATTTGAAGTCTATACGAATGCATATTAACTGTTTCTACTTCAAGAAATAAACAGACTGACATTTTCTACAGAAACAAAAGAAACCTGTTAGCAAAATTCCTGTAAGAAAAAAAAATGTGAAACACAATGTAGCTGCTGTTGTTAGTCACAAACAGATTGTTTTATTCTATTTATTTTGGAATACTTTTCTTCATCATTGTTTTACTAAGTCCTCCAGAGATACAATCAGGAAGTGATTCATATATTAGAACGAAACGTTATTCATATATTGCTTGTGATAATATATTAAAAATGTCTGCGGTTCTATACTTCAACACTTCTTTTAGATCGTGTTTCACAAAAGAAACTAGCAGTTAGATGTCTAAGTCAATCAAATAAACTATTGTTGGAGCTGGCCGAGATCGACTCAACGAGTCATACCCTAAAAGTAACAATCAATGATAACTTGATTATTACGAGAGAAATGTTAGTAGTAGAATTTGAAGCGACTATCGTACTTATATTAGAAAATTTCGTTGAAATTAAAAGTGTACGATCCGGATTCAAAAATGTTGAATCTGACGAATTCTAACCATCGCTGTTAACCATAATCGAAAGATGAGAATAGATATTTAATTTTGTAAAATTCTCGATAATGAGAAGTATTAAAATAGAATTAATTATATTACGTACAAAATTAAGAATATCATAAGTTTTAATTGATACACCTGGATCAATAATTCTATTTGACATCTGAAAAATCAATAAAGAAAGATCATATTTTTATATAAATCTGTACATGTATGAATGTTTTTTTTTATTTATTCATCGTGTATAACATAAACAAAGAAGAAAAAAATTTTTTTTTCTAATAAATTGGTTCTGATGGTAAATTAGGTACATTTGGTCGTGCTTGTTTTATACGTTGCTGTTGTTGTTGTTGTTGCATTTGTGGATTATATGCATTACGTGAAACTTCTTTAAGTTCAAACATCGATGGATATTTTGATAAAAGTGGTTTTAAATCAGCTAATGGTGGTTCAGAATAAAAGAAATCTGAACTAACAGCATTATCTGCATCAATACGTTGTTTTGGATCTAATGTTAATAATTTATCAATTAAATCAAGTGCTAATGGTTCTTGTATATATGGTTTCATTCGATCATGAACTTTACGACGTTCATTTTGTGGTAATTTTAATTTTGTATATAATGGTAATTTATTCACACCAGGCCAAACACTTGGCTCTATACTACCACATAAATGAGATATTAATTCAAGTTGATGTTGTTCAGTAGTGCCTAACAAAGAAAAAAAAAAGAAGTTATATCTTTTAATACAGAACATAAATAAAGATCGGAAGTAGACAAAAGGCTAAGTATCTACAATCAAGATTCAACACGAAAAGAGCTTAAGGAACTCTTCTACCTCTTTTCAATCATTTCTGATTCTCGAAGACGGTACAACCAATCCGCATGAAATTCTTATCACAGATAGAACACTCGAAATAATAGGATACGTGTTTGAGGAAATAAGTTTTAAACAAAGTTAAAAGTCATTTCCTCTAATCATTTCACTTTCTCTGCTGATCTATTTTGGAGCTTACTCGGTTTTTAGTGGATTTTGAAGAAAACATGTCGCTTGAACTTTAACTGGAAAAACCCACATCCTTGTCTATCTTTTCGTATGTAAATTTAAATGAGAGGAAAATTGCATTTACTTTTAGTCTGATTCAGGATGTAAGTGTGAGATTTAGAAAATGAACAATGTAACAGATGGAGTATAATAAGTGGCCACATTTTGCATTTCAACTCTTAATCACTTAATACATTGTATTAACAAAACAAGATATATCACAAGCATGGTTCTCGGTTGTGGGAGAAAGAGCTTTCCCTACTCTCCGGTGGAAGGAACAGTGTGTCTAGTACCTCAAACATGAAAGCGCTCTGACGAATTTTTAGCCCCTTCCACCATTAAAAAATATCGACAATCCTGACTAGAAGATGCTTTTGTGCGAACAATTTTCGATGATGCGAACAAGATCATTTATTGATACACGACAAATGCCATTTCTTATTGTTTCGGTTACTGAGCTATATCAATGGCTAGATTAAGACTAATCAATATGTATTCCAATTCATTCTGATATTACTTATTAGAGGTATATACGAACTACATAACATTGATCGTATAAGATTTTATCCATATTGAAAACAAAAGAGTATACATAAAATAAACTGTTCTTTTGTAAATTGTACAACTTTTCATGCTGCGTCTTGTGGTATATTTCTTTTTTTTTTTACTATAAAGTGTATTAAATAATTAAAAAACAACAAAAGGTAAAATGCAACTATTTACTATGCTCTACTTGTTAGTATATAAAATCTTTGAAAAGATTATTTTAATTTACCTTGCATTATAGGAGAACGAATCCACATTTCTGCAAAAATACATCCAACTCCTAAGTATAACATAAAAAAAAAGTAATATAATCTAAAATTTCAAAAAATAAAAACTTACCCCACATATCAATAGCTGGACCGTAATCACGTTCACCTAGAAAATAAAAAATAATTTTTAAAACTTATTTTGTTTTTTGCATTATTATCTTTTACCTAATAATAATTCCGGTGGACGATACCTACAAAACAAAAATACATATATATATATAATAAACAATTGAAAAAGAAATTTATCATTTGAATATTCACCATAGAGTAACAACTCGACATGTATATCGATTTTGATGATTAGCTATTCAGAAAGAAAAGAATTTTCTAAAAATTTATTTTTATTATTTAACTTACGTTTTGGTGGTGTTATCACTTTCGCTAGACCAAAATCAGCAAGTTTAAGTACACCATTACGTGTTATTAATATATTTGCTGATTTAATATCACTAAAATTGATTAAATCAATATTATTCATCTTTTTTCTTTGTCATCTTTAAACTTACCGATGAATAATATGATTTTTATGAATAAAATATAGACCTAGAAATATATTGTTAAGTAAAATTTTTAAGACATATTTTTTTTTATTAAATTTACCATCTAATAATTGCTGCATTATAGATTTAATATGACCAAGACTAAATTTAACATTAGGATTTCGTAATATACCCGCTAGATCATGATCACAGAATTCAAATATAAAATAAAATTTACTACGAGAAGATTTATCCACTAGAGAATAAATAAAAATAAAACATATTAATAAATGAAACTTTTTCTTTCTTCAAATTAGTCGAAAAATTAATATACAGATTGTAACAGCTATAGCTAAGAAAGTGAAATTTAACAAATTACTAATAGAGTATCGACTATATAT